GCACCTTTAAGACTAACAGAGGTATTGGGAGCATAAGCTTTCGTGGGTAAGAACCTCACTTCTTCAGATGCAAGCAAGCATCTGAAGAAGTGAGGTTCTTGCCCACCAAAGCTTATGCTCCCAATACCTCTGTTAGTCTTAAAGGTGCCACAGGACCCTCTGTTGCTTTTTACAGATTCAGATTAACACGGCTACCCCTCTGATGTATATAGAACATGCACTATGCTAGTAAAACGTCTTTTTTCTTTTCACCATCATCTTCTAGCCTGTCCTGGATAGTGGGAGAAACGATGCTGAAGCTGATTATAAACCGCCCTCTTTGTACTTTGCTTATTTCAGTTCCCAAGCACAGCTTAGCCCTACAACACGAATGACAGAAGCCAGCAATCTCTGGGGCCAAAAAAAAAAAAAAAAAAAGAACCTAAAGAATAATCTTCTACCCGCATCTCGGAATTGACTTTCATTCAAGGGGATGTATTCCTACACCATGTCCTGTCCATACAGAGAGGCTGGGCGCCTCCTTAGCACAGAGGCTGGTTTTAAGTACTTGCAAAGACACCAACTCTTACACGCGATACTTTCCAACCTCGCACCCCGCGCACCTGTCCGCCCCCCGGGGGGTTACATCCACGGGCCGAGGCTGCTTCGCATCCGCTCGCTCCTCCATAGCGCGGGGACGCCTTTGCCGTTTTCTCCCCCTGCCTGCAAAGCCCGTTAGCTAGGTGCGTGGAAACGGAGCTGCAGCCCCAACTTGGGCAGCGAAGCCCCCTCACTCTTATGTTCAGAGGGAGCCTTTGCGTTCACCCCCCCCCAGCCCACGGTATTCCCAGCGGTAGTCCCCAGAACTTGGGGCACCTGCCCCCCAATTCCTCCTCCTCCGATCACCTTCTCTCTCTCACACACACACAAACTCCCCACCAAATATCAACAGTGAGGGAATGAGCCAAAGGTTTTAGAACAAATAAGGCTGAGAAACACCCAGGAACCACAGACCTGTCAACAGTCCCCCCGTCCCCTCCAGGTCTGGACCTAGGGAGCAGCAACCCCAAATCCAGCCCAAGAGCAAACCACCCACCCAGGCCGCTTGCCGTGCCGGGCGCGTCCCAACAGTCCTGTGCCAAGCAGCATGAAGAAGCCCAAAGCAGGGATCCCCGAGGCAAAGTGGATATGAAGGGAATCCACGCGCCCCTTCCGTCAACTTGTGCCAGTTCGGTTTTTTTGGGGGGGGGGGAACATGTTCGTTAAGAACAGGATCCAGACTGGGGCGACTCTAAAATTGCACATGCTTGAACTGCCCAGCCATCCTGAGTCCTGTCCCAGAGGGTCCCACATTCTGCTGGGAGGGTGGGGTCGGAACAGAGATGGTGATTGCGGACAGAGGACCCCCTCTAACCACACAGAGAACATTCCCCCCCTTCTCCACACACCCCTCTCCACCCAAAGGAAGGGGATCAATAAACCCTCAACACCACCAAGTGCGGGCAAAACACTTCGCCATTAAAACCGGCTTCGAACCGGCGCAACCTCC